ATTTCTTACTCTTTTATAGTCTTATTCTTTTATAGCTTTTCCTTCTTCCTATTCCATCTGATGTCAACCCTCAGACAAAGGAAACTTTAATGCATTGCTCAGCAATACAATACAAATACATCAGAAATCCAAAAATATTCACATCTGGCCATCTCTCCCCATCAGTGCTAACTGACATTACTAGGTCTGTGATATCTAAAAGAGAAAAGCATTAACCTGACCATATTGTAAAGCAACTTTTTTTTCCTGTGGTCTTAACGCCTTCGTTTATTAGACTGAAGAAAATTTTTACATTTATTTTTCACTGTTTTTGCAATGAAGTCCTGTTTGATTTTGGTTTATAGTTAATTTCACTTCCAGATTCTCAGAATTGCAATGCTGAAGTTGCCAAAACTTTGAAGTAAGTGCTGTTTAACAATTTTCCACTGGACTGTTAAAAAAAATGGAAACGAATATTGGCCTTTTGGTTTCACAGTGGCTTATTTTTGGACCAATTTTGAAAGAAGTGTCCCTTTAAAACATTCCCCCCTCCTCCACAAATACATTAAAACTATTAATCAACACCAGGTATGCAGCTAGTTGAGTAGTAATTATAAATACTTATATAATACACACACTCACAGAGGAAGGCAGAGCCTGCAGAAACAAGTTCTTGGAGTAAGTGCCTCCAGGAGCAAAGACCTAGGAGAATAAAAATGTCTTCAGATGTTTGTTGTACTGTTATTGTTGGTATCACCTTGTGTATAGGATGCCTGCCTGCATTATGTAAACACTTCATTGATAAATCCCTCCCCTACCTCCCTCAGCAAGCTGCATCACAGTTCCTAGCTGAAACAGATGCTGCTATAAATACCCTGGTTTAGCTGTTTTGAATGTAATTTTTCTTTTGTAGAACATACTGAATGCTCTGGTTATCTCTGAACCTGCACCTGTGCTGCAGTTTTACTTGCAAGGCTCTGGGTGCAAACAGGAAGACGCATGTGTTTTTAAATGATCTCCTACACACAGAGCCAGACATACAGGGACAGAGTCTACTACCCACCAGCCTTTAGAATCATGGAACCTCTCGCAATGGAACTACCTGTAGATTGAGCAGCTATTCATTGTGAGAGTGGCGGAAGCTGGATGTCACTGAGTGGTCAACAAAGCAGCAGGCAGAAGTTAACTTAATTTGAAAACTCCATGTGGGGACACTGGTAGGGCAAGCGGGAAACGGTGCAGGCCGAGGGACATGCTGGGTGCCCTTCCTGCAGCCCCCATTGGCCTGGAGCAGCAAACCGCAGCCAGTGGGAGCCGCGATCGGCCGAACCTGCGGAAGCAGCAGGTAAACAAACCGTCCCGGACCGCCAGGGGCTTTCCCTGAACAAGCGGCGGCCCAACTTTGAGAAGCACTGGCCTAGGGAATGGCTGAATTAATGTATTTACTTTTATTTTTTAGCACCCATCCCAACCTGTGGGCACTTTATCACGATTAGTAGGTCATACAAAATTAGGACACTTGTAGCACAATTACTGGACTGGATGTAAGCAGCAAAAAAGCCAGCCCCTCCCTTACCAGTAATAATTCATCATCAGACCCACCATCTCCCACGTTTATCAGCATATATAACTGACTAGTTAGCCACATGTATGGTTTGGTGATAAAATCCACATCCAACTGCAAAGTTAATAGAAAGCTATTGTACAGGTTCTATAATGTGTCAGGATCATTTGGGTTGCGTATTCAAAATGCTAGTGACCGTACTAAGGAATAGGTGAATCAGCTTTTACAAGTTCCAGCTATATTTTTTTTTAATAAGATTGATTTGATAGTTTCCTAGAATATTTTCCTTATCTTTACCTGTGTGAGCAAGGTAAAGAGTATTAAATAACGGTCTTTACATATTTCATATCCTGAAAATTGGCTGGTGAGACTTCTTAAATATATGGTCAATACCTTTTCTAAAAGCTTACAAGATGCGTTTGTGGATGTGATATTTCAGTTTTTCAGGATACAGATCCCTTTAAAGAGAAGTGGAAACTGCTATCCATTTCCCTGCCTAATACTTCTACATTCATCCTCCATAGTGTCTCTTCAACACCGAGACAGTCTTTGTTGTGCATCCTTTATAATCGACAAGTAAACCAAACCTCCTTTTGTCAAGTTGTGTCCAAGCACTACCTCTGACCACTATCTAAACGTGTTCCCTTAACCTGTCTCTACACTTTGCATGCTCCTTGGGCTGGGACCACGCTGCCTTTGGAAAATCCTGGATTATTTTGGACATTACCCAACCCAAGTAAGTAATCCCCTCCATCCACTGCTTTGGGTTAAATATGGGTCACCTATGGATTATGCTCATCCTTAAAAGCATTGTCAGCTTTATATTTTTGCAGGATGGCAGGTGCTGCAACTCTGGGCCTGATCCCAGTGAATTAAATGGAAAGATTCCCATCAACTTCAAAGAGCTTTGAACTAGGCCCTCATTCGGCAATTTATGGCAAATATATTGATGTGTCCCCCTTTTTTTCCTGTTAAAATGGCTTCAATGGACTTTGGCTGGCATGTGGACTGTGGATGCATGCGTAGGCCAGCTACGTGGGCTAACATGCAGCGAAGCCCACTGAGAAACAGCTCGGGAAAAAACGTACAACAGAACATAGCAATAAGATTGAAAGATTCTCTCCTCTCCCAGCACCGCTGGGTCTAACAGCTGAGTAGCTTGAAACTAAAAGCAGTCTGCAGAATTCTGCCCAGATTCCTCCATTTGCACATGTTCACTAGGGTGTCTCAGGAGTGCTGTGTTGTCATCATAAACCAACTCATGAAATGGAAAGAATTGCAGATTCCATGTAAACACATGTATGAAAAAATAGGTTGAACTTTGGGCTTCCAGTCTTCGACCATGTCTCTAAGGGTATGTCTTCACTACCCGCCGTATCGGCGGGTAGCAATCGATTTATCTGGGATCGATATATCGATTCCCGAACACGCTCACCGTCGACTCCGGAACTCCACCACAGCGAGCGGCGGTAGCACAGTCGACGGGGTAGCCGCGGCCATCGATCCCGCGCCATGTGGACCCTAGGTAATTAGATCCAAGATATTTCGACTTCAGCTACGCTATTCGCGTAGCTGAAGTTGCGTATCTTAGATCGATCCCCCCCCAGTGTAGACCAGCCCTAAGGTAAACATTTAGGCCCTTCAGATTTTGTCAATACTTCTAAGGAGCTGGAAGAGGAAAACCCAGGTAAAAGCTACAGCAAACCTATTTCAAGGGATTGATAGAGTTCTTGAGTTTTGTTCCTATATTCCTATAGGCGGTTGCCAGAACAGGAAGATCCTGGTCAGCAAAGCTGCTCCACACAGGAAGCTAGCTAACACAGGGGTCCATTCAGGAGTTGTTTGCCCAGCCAGTCACAATGAAGGGTGAAGAACCAACTTCTTTCTACCCCAGTGATCCTCAGACAGAGGCTTGGGAGCCCCAAGTTGCTCTTTAATGCGTCTCCTGCCATTCTTTGCAGCACATATTAAAACTCTGATGTAATTATTAACCAATCCAAGATATTAACCAATCAGGATGCTTTTACTATATTATTAACCAATTGTAGAATACTTGGTCAGTTGTTTTAATACTGTGGCTCTTCTGCGTAATGTTGATTGCTAATTTGGCTCCTGAACCACTGAGGTCTGAGTATCATTTTTATTGCTCTCTGTGACGTTGCACTCTATATGCTGATGAGTGTGAATATAATGTAACTAAAATATGCTTCATGCAAAAGGTCTCTTGTAAGGTATCATTACAAAGCTTATAATCTACTGAGTGTGGTCATCCTATTTGTATAAATGTATCACTTGTATCTGAAACTAGAATATGAAATATAACTCTGAGGGCCTATTGTAATTATGCAAAGTGTGGGCCATTAATGGTGGTTTGGAATCTTGATGGCTCCCTTTTTCATAATTCTTTATGGACCAATAGCCTACTGTTGTGTTGGTCTATGCTAAGACTCAGTTCAATATTAAGATTATGGTCTAAGGACAGAGGTATTAGATCTATGACATGAATAGGGTGGGTCTATATAAACCATTGACCAAGATGACTTCATTTGGAGTGATTCCAATCCATTGGCTACAAAAGATAACTTAGGGGGAAAAAAGAGGATTTATAATAGGGACCAGAGTAACCCCAATGAGTTAACTTCTAAAAGTATCTGAGAAATCCGGCAGGGACATAGATTCTACGTTCAGATAAAAGACTGCCAGGCCCCATCCATAACAACCAGCCAAACTGAGTTTAAAGCACATCAGTCTAAACAACTCACTGTAGCTTCCAATTGTTTACACAGAGGATGTCCACTTTGACTGTGTTTGACAGTCTCAAGTTGTGACACAATCTAACAGTTTGTCCTATTAGTTTGGCTTTCCGTGCTTCTCCACCATACTCTCCAAAAATAATCTGTTCCCTCTGCCTTGCAATTCTGTTTTCCAAACCAGCTTGAATAGTACCATCTGTCACAAGATAAGTTCTGAAGATTATTCCAACAAAGTTTAAAGGTTTCAAAATGGCAACTGGAGAGAAGATCTCTCTTGCTCATCCACTAAAGTCTGCCTTGATTACTTTGATGTAACAACACTTGAAAGCTCCTATTCTTTGAAACTAATTTAAACACATTGAATTGTTGAAAGATTAAAAACCACAGTCAGCTAATTACACTCACTCTCATCTCTTATTCAGCAAATGAATCACTTTTCATTACCACTTAGCTGAAGTACATGAATTTCTGCCTAATTAGAAATGTTGTAGATGGAGCATTAGCAAGGCTGGAGCGGGTCAGGATATCTTGCCTGCTTCATTTTTAATTCCTAACAGTAGAGCCAGATAGGAAAGGCTGGAGATAAGAAGTCATTAAACAAATGTAAATTATTTATAAAAATTACTTTGCCCAAATTATAATTATTTTTTTTCCCAAACACTCTTATAAACGTCAAATGGAATGAAAGGAAAAGCGGCCCAACATTGATTTTAATGACCATTTTAATGTTATGTATAACAGAACATTGTGAATACAATGGAAACAAAGTTTTATCAATTTAATAATAAAAAAGAAATCCAACATAAGAAAGGGGAGGTAATAAATTTCATACCTATAATATAGTGCTTATTCTCAATAATACTCCCAGCTTGTGAGTATAACCATGTCTTTGTATTCCAGACTCTAGAATCATGATTCGTGTGTGAACTTAAAATGCAGAATTACAGCAGGAAAACAAAACCTTAATTAATTAATTTCCTTTATTTTCATTAAATCAATAAAATCTTTGACTGCTACAGGTTTCCTTTAATAATATATATATATATATGTATTATATATATTTAACTCCTTTCTTTTGGATTCCACCGCTGCTAATGCCATATTTACACCAAAAAGTCACCAAATGTTGTATAAAATCTAAAATCCAATGCTGTTGGATTGACAAGGGTTTAGAGATTTAACTTAAAAGACAATGTAGTTACCTTGTTACTTTTCTTTTCATAAAGATGATTTTTTTTTTGCCTTTTGACTGCTGCTGACACTGTAAACCAGTGGCCCCTAAGGGTACATGTGGCATAAAGTTGCCACTGAAGTAGAACTGCAAAAAGTGTTCATATGCTGGAGTTTTCTGAAAGGAAACCATAAAGCAGCTCTGGATGAAATGTCTCCCAATTCAGCACTGGGTATTAATTATAGCAGTAAAGGTGTGAAAAGCCCCTAAACCTATTAATGACCAAATTGCTTAAAGAGGTTTTTACAATAAAAATTTGGATATTATAGCAGTGTTGCTGGAACATCAGCAAAAGTATATATATATACACACACATTCCAGGTCCCTTTGAATTAGCCATAAGCACATATGTAAGCCATTTTTTTTTTTTGGACAAAAATATATATTCTTATAAAAAACTGATCATTGTACTTGAGTGACTTCAAATATGGACTCAGAGTGGTAGTAAAAGGAATGGCTTCAGTTATGACAAAGCGATTCAGGGAGAGAAAAATCAAGCTCTTCAAGAAAAAAAAGAAAAGTATAAAATTAGATTCAAACAGATTTACCTAACCCCCATTCCAGTCTCCCCACCAGTTTCAATGTTAAAATTGGTTCTTCCATCTTGAAAGGCTTTTGATGGTCTTGCTACAAAACAATGGCCTCTTAATTGCAAAGTCATCCAATTGATTCATCAGAAGAACCTTTCGTCTCCCCAGAGCTTGAACGCTAGGTGTTTCAGCATTTACAAAATAGCCTTTTGGTTCTTTATGTAGGTTCATTTTAATTAACTGATAAAAGGAAAAAAGGTATTGATCAGTGTTCTCCATCCCTCCCCCAGCTCCATTTGTGCAGCTAAAAATCCTTCATTCACTCTGACCAATTCTTTACAATCTTTATTTGCTAAAATTGGCAAAATTGGCAAAGGCATCTTGCTTGGGTTGCACAGTTCCAGGAGTCATAGCAGAGGTCATAGCTATATTGGGTACCCCCAAGCCCATTGTGCCTGTCAAACCCATTCCAGCAGCTGGCATCCCCACGTTCACATTCATGCCCATAATTCCCTGGTTCATCATAGGCGTGTTTCCCAAGGAGGTCATACCCATTGTACCCGTCATAACATTGGGCATCCCCATTCCCACAGGAATGGGCCCTCCCATCAATGAACTTGTTGGGGATCGAACAGGCATCACGTTGGACTGGGAGTTGAGGCTCACGGCTGCAAAATTTTGAGTCATCACATTCACAGGTTGTTGCATATCTGCAGAAAAATAAAATACAACAGCCTTTAATTTAATCAATATCCTAGGGTTGAACATGGAGAGTTACAATCTACTTTTAGAAGTTATGTAACTATATTGTGACTTTACAGTGAACAAAGACAAGGAAAAAGTTATATTTATGTTCACTAGCCAGTTAGCCTACAAAAGATGACTAATTTCCACATCTCTTCCTTCTTCAGTTAAAATTCAGAAAAGTCTAACCAAGTTTTACAATATGTCTTACACCCAGGTTAACTATTGCTAACCAATTGAGCTCTGAGGACAGAGAGTTGATACCACCCATAGGAAGAGCTTAAGGCCTGGTCTACACTAACCCCCCAAGTCGAACTAAGGTACGCAACTTCAGCTACGTAAATAACGTAGCTGAAGTCGACATACCTTAGTTCGAACTTACCGCGGTTCAGACGCGGTCCACACGCGGCAGGCAGGCTCCCCGTCGACTCCGCGGTACTCCTCTCGCCGAGCTGGAGTACTGCAGTCGACAGCGAGCACTTCCTGGTTCGACTTATCGCGTCCAGACCAGACGCGATAAGTCGAACCCAGAACTTCGATCCCCAGCCGCCGAACTAGCGGCTGGGTGTAGACCAGCCCTAAGAGATGCGGGAGTCCTAATGTGAAGATTTGGGAATGATGCAAGCCTCTGCAGTTAGAGACTTGGCTTCACATCCCTGAAACATTCCCGGGCTCATTCTTCTAGATCACGTTACGGTAACAAAGCTGCGAATGGTAAGAGGCAATGGAGCAGATGAAAAATAGGATTATGATTAAAATTAAGAGAAAAGGTGATCTAGCAAAAGGGTCCGTTTTTTTTTTTTTTAAAGACACATTGGTAACATCTGTATAGCAGGTCATGCCAGTGAAGTATTATTACATCAATGGGATCACTTACTCTGTTGCTGAATCATTGTATTAAGCGATGGCTGCTGGGGTTTGGAAGGCTGCATACCAGGTACTAAATTGTCCAAACTGATATTTACACTGGGGTCTGACCAAGTGGATGGTAGAGTTTTGCTGGCATTTTTTTGGACCATCTCTGTACTCGGATTATAAAGAGGACTGGGCTTCTGCAGCATACTGTTAACGTTCTGCAAAGGCTAGAAACAAAGGAAAAAAGCTTTTTGTTTTTTTAAATGATGCCATTCACTCCCTAACATTTACTACTGCTGTGTCTAAGAAATAAACAGTTCCATCATGTCAGCATAAAATACAACAAATGGTTGTTTATGTTTGCATATGAGAAGTTAAAAAGCCAAAGAGAAATGTCATCAGTTTTTATGAGACATGGACGTTCATCTCTTTCAAAGTAGTTTCCCCATCAGTTGGTATCTTGTTGGAAGTGATCAGGATGGTATTTCATATGTTAGCACTAAGCATTTTGCATCAGTGGATTGTGTCACCAAATCAGAGTTGCCTGGCATCTCCCAGACAAGGAGCCCACTCTATTCTGGGCTTTTTGAAATGCATTTGTAGGTTTTTGCACAAGAGTCAATGTGCTTTGGTTTTAACAGCCAATTACTTTCCACTGAAGTAGCCCCACTGTGCGTCATGGCAGCACACAGATGAGGGTGAGGACTGGTCCATCAGTTGCCTGATGACGTAGGCTGCACACATATTCTATTGTTTTTTTTCAGGTTCTAACTTTAAAACCTTCCCTCCCCTAAAAAGGATGACAGAGCATCTCAGATAGAGCGACCGAGTGATAAAGAATGCATCTGAGAGCTAGGGGTAACAAGAAGGTTTAAGCCAAAATAGGACAAAAGTATTCTAGAACCTTCTCTTCACAGAGGAACCAGTCATTAAGGGATTGAGTAACAACAGCATACCTGTGACCTTGACATGGGTAGACCGATGCCCACCGCACTAGAGCTCATCATCGCAAAATTCATGCTTTGTGAAGAAGCCATGGTTGCCTGAGAGGAGCCCATCAAATCAAAGAGGTCAGTAGAATTTGAGGCAGCTGGAGGATGGCCAAGAGCTGGCTCCGAGCTACCAAAGAGCTCTACAGCTGGCTGGGCAGTGCCACCGAAGTGCTCTCCTGCTGAAGCACTGGGACATGGAGAGGCTTGGTTGAAGGCACTCCAGTCGCCGAAGTCTCCGTTCCCACTTGCTGCTGTACCTGGGGGTGAGGGAAAGAAGGTAAAAGATTTTGAAAGGCACAGAAAAACGCCACATTCTGTGAACTGAAACAAATGAGACCTGATTTGTGTCCGTCCAGATTAACATCTGCAGGTAGAATCTCCATCTGGACATCATTCCTTCTCATGAATATTCCAACAGTTTTAACAAGGTAGCAAAGGAAATATGAAACACCCACGCACAGACAAAAAACTACATCTGATAATGTGTCACCTATGGACCTGGATGAGTGGGACACAGGTTTCCTTCAACTAAGTTTGCAGCATCCAAATGCTTCCAGACAGACACTGGAAAAGTAGATTTGAGGTTCTGTCAAAAGCAGGGCTAGAAGTTTAAGAATCAAACTTGCCAGTACTTTAATCCAATGCTCTGATATTCTCAACAGAGCCATGATCCCAGCTAATGGGTATTATGCAGTCACTGTACATGAGAAGCCCAATTCCACTGTCATAGTAAAGCATACAAGATAACAGCCATTTATTCAAATCTTTTTGATTACATATAATTAATAGCTTTTGCACAGCATAGGAAAATAGTGACACTCAGTGGGATACCAATAAAACCAAGAGCTTTCAAAACAGATTACTAGAGGGTCCTTATCTTACTCTGTTGCTTGCTAACATCATAAGTAATATTTCCCTTGGGCTATGAGAGTACATGATGCTTTGATATGTACCTGTTTCAGATCACATGCCCCAATACCTACATACAGACCAGCAAGCCCAGGATGTGACAGGATCCTTACTTCCATTTCCTTACCTTTATAAGGATCAGTCAAACCAGTGACATTAAAATAAGTTTCCTTCACTTACAGGAAAAAAGTAAGTTACAAGAAACATCATGGGTAACATTTTATAGTGAAAGTTATTTAAAATATCCCAAAAGCCGTGGTGGTTTTTGTTGTTTTGTTTTTAAAGATTTGTCTGGAAATCTTCCAGAGGGTTTTTGGGGGGGAGGGGGGGTGGGGGGTTGGAGGGGCATTGCATAGGTCAGATTTTTGGTGATGTGGCTAATGTTTTACAGGTCTGGATGTAGTAGATGAATATCATTCTTCTGGCATATGAAATGCATAGGACTGCTTTATTTGCTACATGGATGCACAGCTTAGAGGGAACATTTCCATCATGCATAAGAATTATGATATTCCCCTGTAGGTTGTATCTCATGATGAAGTTCTCATTCCCAGTTAGGCCACAAGCAATATCCCTGCAGTAGGGAAAGAGCTCTGAACTCTAATAAATGATTAAATCAACTCTACTTCCTCCTGCATGAGCAAAGGAAGAGGCTCGGATTGAGATTTCACTGATTTCAAAGTTACTAGACCTATGCACCTGGCTAAGAGTACAACCCACACACCTGGCTATTTCCTAGAGCTGTATTTTGTCTAGTCAAAGGCAAATGCAATAATATTTTACACTCCATGTAAATGCTTAAACACCTGTGTGTTGAAACCTGGTTTTAATTACCCTTACCTTCACTAGTGTATTAAATTTTAAGTAATGGAAAAGGGGGTAGGAGGAAAGAAGCGAGTTTGTTTACAAAATCCAAGCACTACCAGTAGTTTTAACGCAAGAAATGGACTAATGTTCATTAGCTCAGGGCCTTACTAGAACATTTTGCTTTCATTTCCCTCACAAAAGGGACTGTATCGGAGGATTTCAATTAGTACTGCATATTAAAGATTTAAACCCACTTTAAGTATTCCTGATGGATAAGTAAACGCTGAATGTGCTGATTCCATGTGTACTGGATGCAGAGATCTGAACACACAATAAGAAAAAGTAGGGGTAAGAGGAGAAGGTTTTGCCCCCCTTTTGGGGAACTTGATCAAAGATGATTAATCCGGGAAGAAAGGATTACTAGAGGGGCTTATATTGTTAGAGAATGATTAATCATTTCACAAGACTCCTGGCCCACTGCATAATGGTGATCGGTATAGATTAATCATGTTAATGCAGATAAAGGATTGTGTCATTTTAGGCTGTATTCATACACAAATTATTTGCATAGTAGGCAGCTTTATACTTGTAAAAAGAACTTTATTTTGAATAAGTATCACAAGCAAGGAAGCCTGTACAATTAGGACAGTGCTTTTTTTCCCCTGCCGGTTGAAATATTAAAGGTGTGTTTTAACTCACAGATGCCCAATACTGCTTTCTTAAATGTAGCAAATAATGCAAAAAGATTCCCAGGTGCTGATCTACAACCAATTTGCCAAGAGATTTACTAATCTGTCACTGAAATGTCTTCATTCATACTGGATTTACTCCTATACCCCTAGCTGAGGCACAACTCCCAACTGCCTCAAGAGCAAGAATTACACCCCTTTTGATTGGAGCTCCATACTTTTTGGTCAACTGCAAATATCCATATTTAGCAACATTGTTAAGTTGGCACCTGCAAGTGGCTGAGCACCCTCGACTCCTACTGGAAGGCTGAGCTCAGAAAAGCTCAAGTTAAAGAAAGAAGAGATTTTAAGTGGTCACCTCCAGCACACTTTGTTAGCATACGACTGTTCACTCTGGTTTGCTTACTACTACTTTGTTCAGAATCGTTTTAAGCACCACAAGCGACGTGGGCTCCATTTCCCTTGAGAAACCACTCCCCAATGTGCTGTTTCATTATGGATACATTCTCCTTGTTAGAAAAAAGAGCTGTTCTCTCTTACTCCTAGATATATTCCTTGTGCCCCCATAAACAGTTCCTTGCCCTCCTTGGCATTCATATCTTTCCTATACTTGTAAACAAGTTGTCATTTAGCTAAGCTATGAAGGACCATCCATCAGTTTTAGCCCACGGATATGCATAAACATAGTCCACTGAAGACAATGGAGTTATGCCAGAGTATTGAGGGCATAACTTGGCCTCACATCAGTCCTTCCAGGTGTAACTCCTATTCCACCTGGAGGTTTTGAAATTTTGATAGCATCTCCCTTGACATCCGTCAAAGCCAATGTACCTTTGTCTCTCCATTTACTATACAAATGTTTTGTTAATCTTGGAAGACAAGTGGGAATTTAGGTATCTTTAGGGATTATCATTCTTCCAACACAGGTGGGCTGCTATTCCTCATTGCATATGAGCCTAAATTTTTGTTTTTATTTGTTAGACTTTTATAGGTGAATTGTTTGTGGGAGTGTGTGGGGAGGTGGGGTTATCCTGACGTTAAATTCCAATTTGCCAATGTAGTACTCAGTCTGAGCTTTGGGCTAGGTCAAACATTCTATTGTTATTTTCCCCCAGAATTTCCAACATACTAAAATTCCTTTGTATTTGTGTCCTCAGACATTCACAAGCCTCCCAATTTAGTGTGCTCTCATATTCCAGATTAATAAAGTTGCTATGATACCCCAGTCCTAGAAAGGATCCCTGCAGCCAGAGTTCCCTCTAATTTTTCCCACCCATGTGTGGAATGAAATTTGTTATGTGCACCAATATGGAGGTGATGTGAAACACATCACCTCCATATTGGTGCACATAACAACATTCATGGGGTGGGGCCGGGCCGTGGGGTTCGGAGTGTGGGAGGGTGAGGGCTCCGGCTGGGGTTGTGGGCTCCGGGGTGGGGCTCAGGGCTGGGGCAGAGGGTTGCGGTGTGAGGGGTGAGGGCTCCGGCAGGAAGCGAAGACTCCCCCCAGCTCTCTATCCCTGCAGCAGCACCTGGGCTGGGTGACCGTGGCAGGTCCAGGGCTGGGGCTACAGGAGAGGTGCTTCTCCCCGGCTGCAGCAGATCTGGGGCCAGCGGGAAGAGGTGCCTCTCCCCTGGCCGCGGCAGGTCCAGGCTGGGCTGGGGCCGGTGGGGAGAGGTGCCTCTCCCCTGGCCGCGGCAGGTCCGGGACTGGAGGAGAGGCATCTCTCCCCACCGTGGCCCTGAGCACCTGTGTGGCACTTAATAGGCTGCCGCGTGGCCATGCAGCTTAGAGGGAACTTAGCCTGCAACACTGCTGAACAGTTTGATACATTGTTGTTTGCCATTACCATGTGTTTAGGGCCCTTCAATCACTTTCAGTCCGTGACAGTGCTCAAAGTCAAGCAATATAAATTTGTTTTTGAAGACAGACTATCAAATACTTTACTGAAATACTGCTGCCCCACTCAGGCAATTATTTTTTTATAGCACTTGCTTGTATCTGAAAAAGTTTGCGAACTTTTGACTGGAAAGATCAGGAGAAAGGCTGCCTTTTCTTAGAGAAAAAAGTTGGTCAGATGATCTTACATAAGGCATTAGAACATTTTGACGAACAGTGATTAGGTATATCAGTTAGCGATTAGTTCTATCAATAACAGCCAAGAAAGCACGAAGAGTTCACAAATACTGTCTGTGGGAGCACTCAGCATATCACTAAGACTCCTATTAAAAAAGTTCCCCCTCCCCATTTCCAAATATTATAAAAACAATGTTTTTATTGTGTGAAGTTTTTTCTGCTGTTTAATACGTGTTTTTCACCTGGCACGCTACACCCACAAAACTTGGAAGTGTTGAATACCTTGAGTAAGTTTTATTGTCTTGATTTTCCACCCTAAAAGCCACATCTTATTTTGTTATGGTTCAAGTGAGACCATAATTCCAAATGTCAATTTGAATGGAATTCTACTTTCACTAAAACAAAGTTATGCCTGAAGCTCCCACTGGTACAGTGTTTTATGAAATAAGGCCCTCACACATTTCAGAATCAACTGTATCTGATATTGCCAAGAAGTGGGGCTCTCGCTTCCTGTCTGCGACATACTACAGTTGTGTTTCCCTGGACCATTTAAGTACTTAAGCTTTATGCCAATACAAAGCTGAAATTTAAATACTGTTTTGTGACATCCACAAACTCTCCTCTAAGCCACCTGACATCCAGGATGGGCAATGATATTAAAAGCAACTTGGGAATCTGAATCACTTTGAAATGAAGAGGGAGGGTAAAGACTCATCTAAATTTCCGTTATTAACCACCATTTTTTCTGACTACTTATGTACTATTTCCCCTCACTCCCTGTATCCTTTTGATGGATGTGACTATAAAGTCTGCCAATTTCCTCTAAGATATCTTATGACTTTATAGCAACATTGCTAAGGGATGCTTCTCAGCAATGCAGGGTGCATCAAATAAGGCAAAATAGGGTTCTAACCCATACCCATTAAAGAAGTATAGAAGAATCATTTATCAAAACCAGAAAGCTGTCCTTTATTTAGCCTCAACTGTGTGAAAATACCCATAAGAGACCAAAAAAACATCAAGCACCACTGAGGTGAGCATGTGGCTTTCTTGGTCAAACTAACAACACAAACCAGCCCCAGGAAAGGGAACTAACTGCCAATAATGCCACAAAAAAGAAAGTGGCTTCATTCCCCTCTCCTCATCCCTAATGGCAGTTTTTCAGTCAGTAAATTATCCTACCTTGTGGCGAGGGGAAACTTGCTGAGGCAGCAGCAGAGCCAAAGTCAGCGAATCCTCCGAACGGGTCAGTTGATCCACCTAGAAATGAGAGGAATCACAGGATTGTGGAGCGATACCCTGCTCAATGAACTTGACAAGGGCTTTCTGTAAGCTGCTTTCAGGCATTTCATTTTATTTTTAAACCTCTTGCATTTGGCAGTCAGGCTTTGTTGATTCTGTCGTATGTCTGTACCATTTTTTGAGGCTTTATTACCACCACCATTCTGTATTTATATGAACCTAGACAAATTGGATATTCTTGCCTATGCTGCAGATCTAGCTGATTGTGCTTTGCCATATAGGTGGCACGGAAAACAAGATGCAATTTCTGTTTCACAATTCATTCTAAAATAGTAATTCATACAGCGCAATGAAGCTTGAGAGATCAAACTGACAGGAGATGGTGCTGGTATGGTGTAAACTAAGTAATGGGAGGATTACAGAATTAAAATTTGGGAAGCAAAAAATATCAAAATAAATACTTTTTGTTACTGGAGGAATCCTTAATTTATTATGCTGCTTACCATGAAAAATTAAAAGTCTTCTTATATTTAGTTTTTATGTTTCTTAAAGCATGAATGATTCTGCAATGATCTTGGTATCAAGATTTCAAGGACAGAGCTTGCATTGGTGTTCATTTTTTATAAGTTTGCTTTCTCTCTAGAGCAACAACATTAAAGTCCCAACCATGCCTTTGTAAGCTATCAGTTAAATTATTAACTTCTGAATACAGTATTGTAACTATTTTTCATTAAAGCATATTCAACCCAAACTAGAAAGAAAAGGAAAAAAGCTTTAATAATTATATTTGGGACAACAGAATAGGCAGAAGGCTAATTTCTTAGTCCAAAACACACTTTGCTTTACAGTGTAGTTTTTGTCACTTCTTTCCCCTACAGCTTTTAAGTGGCCATTCTAACGGCCTAAAAGTACCAAAAAGTTGACCTTATTTTTGTTTGTCCTTAAAGATTTCACCTCTGAACAGTCACACCCTGAGAAGTAGCAGCAGCAGTTCAATTATTGTGCTTTTAGTGTTATGCGTACATTATATAGGTTACATCACAGCTGCTTAGCCTGCAGTGCTTAGAAACTAGCCAGGTGGGACTGGAACATCTGTGCTGCACTCAAACACCACCAGGGACAGCTTCCAACATCTGGTGCCATTTCTGAATTGTCTTATCGCTGCAAGACATTCTGCCCCATCTGCTACTCTCAACTGGGTTAATTAAACTAGAACTATCTCCTTTATAATAAACGGCTAGCAGTAATAAAAGGAACAATTCACTTTCTAATACATGTGTACTTGTATTTCTTTTTAATGTTATTTTATTGTCGTCAATATCAGGAAGGCATGACTGTTTTTCAAAGGGGAAATGGTGTCTATCTACAGAATGTGTATGATTTGATATAAAGCAGCAAATAAAGAGAAAGGGAGGACCATGCGTCTGAATTCCACAGAAGGTTAATTCCATTGTAATACCTGTACCACTCTTTTTAGAACAGATTAAAATTTTCTATCTGATGATGCCTGAACAAATGCAGTAGGATTTGTATTGAAGGAATTTATATAAAATATTTGTTTAGTCTGTTGTATTTTGATATAAAAACCTTGCATTGGATATAATGTAAACGTGGGAGGGAGGTGGAATGAGCCAGTCAAATATCAAAGTTGGAAACTAAGTGAGAAGATCAAACTTACTGGGTCTACTGCAAAGGAAACACTTTCATAGTAATACCTCATTTGCTTCCTGTTAAAGGTGGTGAAGATTTGATCTTTTTGTACATAGAACATACAGCACAGGTTCTGTATTCTCCTATGTCAAACCACAACCTCAAGATCAGCTGCTTTCCTGACAAGCCTAAAGAGGTAACCCATAGCCACAGCATTGACTAACCCCCTCACTTTGAACCCAAAAGATGTAAGGGATTTCTGAATATTCTTCAGGTCTTTTGCCTCAATGGTCATTCTTGCCAATTCTCTCTCTCTCTCTCATGTGCCTGTTTCATTTTCGGATGGAACACTAAGCTCAAGAGGAAGGAAGCAGAACCTAGACTGATAGCAACAAAAGCAGCTCTCAATGGAGGAAGCCATTGGCCTAGAGTTAAACCTAGTCTCCAATAATCCTAAAAAATAGCTATGACCACCTACGTGCCACCATGGACATGGCACTGTCTTGTTGGTGTGACTTCTCTATGCAAGTCTGTCTTTACACCTTCTGTAAACAGGATGTAACTTATTGGGCAACTTCAGTAATTTGTAAATCTCAAACTTCACCATCCCTTTCCTGTACTGTAAAGCTTGCTCAGTGTTCCCACATCTCAGGGTAAACAGTTACAGCACCTACTACACTGAAAAATACATATAGATGAGGAGTTGTTTAGCAAACGCCTCCACAGATCCTGGAACTCATAGTATTTCCCTGCCAATTTCTTTACAGGGGAGATCAAAGGCTGCTTTTGACCCCTCCACTGTGTCTTGCGTGACCCAGGAAATGTTCCCACACCCTCTGCTGCAAGGAACATATTGGTCATCACAAGCGACCTGCATGTGAAGGACAGTGCTAATCTTCACAACATGAGCTATCCTCAAAGATTCCCACAGGAGATCTGTCGCTATAAATGAACTCTTTCCATCTGCCTTCACAGGGCAGCAAGGAGATTATTTACAATGACCAGCTGGTAATATGCCTCTTCTCAATACCATTCCTCAATGTTGCTGAAGACTGGAAAAATTGCTGTACCACTGTAGGGCAACGAAAAGAATCAGCAGCTCAGATGTGCTCAAATGTGGAGAGCTACATTTGTTTGAAAAGGATTCAGTTTAAAAATGAAAAAATCTTCTGTTTAGAATTTTTTAAAACTCTCTCTCTCTCTCTCTCATCTCCTATTAAAACTGGATTTAAAAGGGAAAGAATAAAGTGTTACAAAATAGGCTTTTTACAAAAACCTGATGAAGAGTATTTCCATGGATAAAGGGGCAAGGTGGAGGACAATGTGGATTCTGCTTTTGGAACGTATCAGAATGACCATGGATCTCAGCATTCCTAAAATGCATGCCTCACTCATTTACATTTCCCTCAATAAAGGCAAATAAAAGTTAATGTATGAAAACTTTAAAGATCTTGGGAAGTGGGAAGGAGAGAAATTAAGACAGATACTAATTTATTATTTATTTTAACTTGGTTGTCTGGTGAGTACTATGGGTGCTGTTTCTACCCAGCATCACTGCTTTGTCACCCATACTCTTTTCAAGATCACACCATTATAGCACAAGCAGTATCTCAGATGATATTTATCACATTTGACTGTTATTTCATGAATGCGTAACATGTCCAAACTAAACAAGTTTGCACTCTTTTGATAAGTGACACTGTGCAACGCAGCAGCATTGAGATGGTGCCACATTGCTCCTGGCTGCTAACAGTGTAATCCTTTACTGAATTTTCTTGCACATATGGATTCATAAATAACCCACAAGATTATGAATTAAATACATTTTAAGTTTTATGTAAATCTTATACAATTATATCCAGCGGCGGCTCCAGGCACCAGCGCTCCAAGCGCGTGCCTGGGGTGGCAAGCCGCGGGGGGCGCCCTGCCGGTCCCTGCGAGGGCGGCAGTCAGGCAGCTTTCGGCAGCATGCCTGCGGGAGGTCTGCTGGTCCCGCAGATTCGGCGGCTAGTACGCTGAATCCGCGGGACCGGTGGACCTCCCGCAGGCATGCCGCCGAATCCGCGGACCTCCCGCAGGCATGCTGCCAAAGGCAGCCTGCCTGCTGTGCTTGGGGCGGCAAAAAAGCTAGAGCCGCCTCTGATTATATCTAGTTAATGATTATGCATCATACCACAAAGCTATTAGCCCTTGGTGTTGGGCAAAACTAGGAAGTGTGGCCTTAAAAAAAAAAAAAAAAAAAAAAACCCAAAACCATGTATTATATAAAAGAGTAACCAGTTATTTGAAAAAATTTAAATTTGTTTTGATCAATGAATACAGCTGGAAAAACTGCAATCAATTCACAGAATTTAATTATTATAACCCAATCTGCTATGGGGAGGAGGCTCATTCAGCCCCACTATAAGCTACTACAAATACTGCGAGGAAAGAAGCACTACTAAGGTGCCCCATGTTACACAGAAACAGTAGCTTGTGTTAATTAGTAAAATTTCTGTTTGCAATTGAGAGAGAAACCTTCTCTCAAAGGTTTCTTGCCAACTAAAAGGGTCACACTGGTGCTTAATTCTCTGTTAAACTTGATACTGAGGGGGAAAAATTACATCCAGCCATCTGACCACCCCCATCCTCCTCCAGTTAACTCTTCTTTGATTGTCCCATTAAAACACCTTAGATACATGACAAACTCCCTTTAATAGTTTATGATCCACTGTTTTAACTGTGGCTGGCATGAATGTCTGTAGCATGACACAAGACTTTTTTTTTTTTAATTATATTATCTCTCTCTTTCTCACACCCACATCCATCCACACCCACACCCACACCCAACCCAGTTTTGTACTTTTGTAGGCAAGTCACTGAAATCTAAAGCTTGCCTAAAAGAGTTACTGTGGTTTCACAGTTTAGTGCTAGCGTGGACATGAGTGAACTTAAATTTCAGTTTAGTATTAAGAGAATAATTCACCATAAATTAATTGAACAGAATTGTAACTTCAGAGTGAGTTTTTTGGCATTAGGGTTGGGGTTATCCAGGGGTCATGAGGAGATAAAAGAAATGAGTTTGCTTTTGCTGTATACATTAGATGTGGCTTGTGAATAGAGGTCATCCATTTCTATAGCTGCCTATCCCTTAACTTGTAACATGAGAAACTTAAAGCTGACTGGATTGTGCTTGCTTTTAGAATTAATTATAAATAACTCTGCATTATAACCCAGGCAGTTTCTGACAGACTGATTTAGTGGCTAATCTTTATGATTTGCTAACCTTATTATTAATCCTATATATAGTAAAAGCTGTGTTATCCAGCACTTTAAACCGGACTTTCAATGAAGACCAGAAATGCCGATTTATAGAGCTGGCCGGTTGGTATAGTCCAGTTGGCGCGGGGCCAGCAGGCTCCCTACATGGCTCAGCACGTAGTGGCGACATGTCCCTGATGCTCCTAGGCAGAGGTGCAACTAGGTAGCTCTGCGCCGGCCCCGCCCTAAGCGCTGGCTCCGCAGTTCCCGCTGGCAGGGAACTGTGGCCAATGGGAGCTGCGGGGGTGGCACCTGCGGGTGGAGGCAGTGCGCAGAGCCATCTAGCTGTGCCTCTGCCTAGGAGCAGCAGGGACATGTCACCACTTGCAGGGAGCTGCCCAAGGTGAGCGCCACCTGGATCGGGCACCCTAACCCCCGCCCCGAGCCCCCTCCCTCCCTCAAAGTCCCACCCAGAGCATGTGCCCCATACCTACTCCTGCACCCCAACCTCCAGCCCCACACCCCCTCCCCCACTCAAACTCCCTCCCTCTTAGTTAACCAGAATTCTTCACTTATTGGCACCCCCCATTCTCCCAACATGCCGGATAAAAAATGTAATATGGTAATTTGTGTGCAGTTATAAACTTACACACAGTTGTCCATTTTTTGGGTACTTGAAACATTTTGCTTTGCTTGTCACCATTTTTCTTTCCCCTTTATCCTTACAATATTAAAACCCATAAGCTTGTGCACGGACAGTCAAAATTAAACAGATCATAGATTAAGGATAAGGATATATACCTGTTGAGATTGGCTGGCCAGCACCATCAAACAGATCAAACAGATCATTAGAAGACTTGCTGCCAGGGGGTCCTGAAGCCTAAAGAAGACAGAATTTACCAGCTTTTTAAAAAACATGATTGAAGTACTATTTATAGTTCAACTGCAAGTGTAGCTTTCTAACTGTCTTATCACAAACTTCACACATGAATTGAGCATTGTTCTCCTGATGAAATGGCCCCCCAAAATGGCCAGAATGTCTGCAGAGATGCAGATGGGTAGAGGGGAGTTTGTTCGAGTAACCTAATTAAGCAAAGACAGACTTCACTAGAATATATTTAAGAGAATCTGAAGTTAAAAAGTGCTGAAGGAACATTACCTACCATGTTATTTTTACTATCTGTAGCCATTTATGTCCACGGAAGATTTAAACCGGAGAAGCAAACATCAAAGGTGTGCATGTTTAAATCACTTTGGTTTTGGTTGAATGATATAAACCTTATGTAAAATACTAGTAAAGAACGTCACCGTTATCAGGTGGTGAATATGTTCAATCAGATCTTAGGGCTTGTTTACATAGGGAGATTTCCTTCCCACATACTTATAGCAGAATTATTAATTCATTAATACATAATTATTCCATTTAGTTATACTGGTATAAGCCTCCACGTGGACACTATTCAAGAATTACATTGATTTTATTCCAGAATGATGACTGTGCTTTGGAAAATTATAAATCACTTATTCTGGAATTGTGTGTCCACAGGGGAATTTACACTAGTACAATTATAGAAGAAGAATTATTCTGGTATAGCTATGCAAGAAAATTTTGCCATGTAGACAAGCCCTTAGTTAATGGACAGAGTTATCTGGAAGACAAACTGTTTTGCAACACATTAATCTAAAATCTCAGAATAACTGACCTGTATTATCAAATATAATTCCAAAGTTACTGTGGGACCCTGACTTAGCTTGCAAGGTCACAAAGGAGACAGAGGGAAAGCAGTATTGAAGCCTTCCTTTTATCAGTCATGTAACAAGGAAGAGAATGCATTTCCTGATAGTACCACGGCACATCGGAAGTCACTTCACTAGCATAGTCACTAATACTAGTATTGGTCATGAATTTCCAAGAGAATGTTTTTCCATCAGAAAAATGCTGATTTGACTAAACTGTTTTCAGGAAAGGGTTAATTTTGACAAATTTTGAAAAAAAAATTGGGGAGTTTAGAAAATTTCTAAACATCTCATTTTGACACTCCTGAAACAAAAATATTTTGTTTTTTGGTTTGAAACTTTATTTAATTTATACTAAAAATAAAAATTTTAAAAAGTCAAAATTGAAGTGAAACATTTCAATTAACCCAGTCTGAAATTTTTGGAGTATTGTTTGTGAAAGTTTTTGAAATTTCAACTACACTTCTACCCCGTTTTAACGCTGTCCTCGGGAGCCAAAAAATCTTACCGCGTTATAGGTGAAACCGTGTTATATCGAACTTGCTTTGATCCGCTGAAGTGCGCAGCCCCACTGCCCCGGAGCACTGCTTTACCGCGTTATATCTGGTCGCGTTATATCGGGGTAGAGGCGTACTTGTCTGATTCAGGATGGGAAGTTTTTTTTTTTTAAAAAAAAGTCTTCTTATGGGATGAGAAAACTGCTTCCCACCCAGCTCTAATACACGAGATTACCATCAGTTTGGTTAATCTGAATCCTATATTCTTGCAGGAAACACCACCAAGAATGCACACATTTAGCCAACGTTACTACTCCTGCAGTACAATGGCATTCTTACTGTTCTTTGAATCTTGGCACTGGGGTCAAGTGCATCTGTGGCAGACTGACGACCTGCTGAAAAGTCTGAAGTACCATTTTACTACCTGTCTGCCTGACTACTTGCCTCAGTCACACTGGCACAGAGTTTGTGGATTCTCTTACTTTAGGTGGAAGTGGGAGGCAGTCCAGAACCATCTATCCTGGTCAATGAGAAAGAGGGGAAGGTCAGCTGACTCTCCAGAACTCTCCTGGCAGGCTTCCACATTTTAAGATGGTTTCTACCTACTAGAGGAACAGTCATGGACTCAGACATTAGTCGGGCAGGGGGGCGCACAGAGAGAGAGAAAGATCCCAAATGGCTGACATTAGCTTTATTCCTCCAATGCGAGTTTTGTACCCTTCTAACGCACTCATTAAATTAGTACTTGTGGGATACAACCAGCAGTAAGAATCTGAGACACAAGCCCATGATCATCTGGAGGGGAAAAGCCTTACAATCCCACTCTCAAAAGGGTTTTAAAAATAAAGAACTGCTTCAGAACCCTCTTCCCACAGGCAGCACTAAGGCTGTAGTCTAGTTTGTAGATCCTGGTGAAGATACGCATCCATGGCCAGTCAACTCTGAACATCTCTTCAGATGAGGGCATTTGTCAATAGAGAGCATTGCCCCTATAGACTTTTGAGAACCGGTCTGCCAATTTTGGGGTAGACTTTTCTAATATCACATCTTAGCCATTTAGAAATGGTTATTTTGAAGATTTTTTATTCCTGTATTTGGAGTGGAAGCTCTGCAGATTTTATAGATCTCTAGTCAAGCTGATAATTCATCTGAGATCCAGTTTGTGCTGAATTCCTCCTTATGCTTCAGATTCAGGTAGAGGGAAAGATGATTTTCTTAACATCACAGAATTCACAACAGCAATTATTGAAAGCAAATTGACAGGATCACCTTGTCCTTGTGAAGTATACAGGATGCTTCTTTATCTGGGTAGTTTGAATACCTACAGAGGTAATGGAAACCAAGAAAGCTACTTCAATGGACCACAAGTACATGGATATGATAACATGGAGTTTGAGAGTTTAAGACCCAGATCAAGTTCCATATAGGCCAATGTTTGTATAAAGTGGCTTTATTTGGACTCTGATGAATCATGCTATGTAAGAAAGATAGTGGAGTCTTACTGCCAGCTCCTAGAATGCTAGATATGTTAAAGATCCAAGTGATGGCTTGTCTACGGGATCAGACTATTTAGTAAGAATGAAGCAATGTCTTTAGTTCTTCTTGGTGTCATCACACAGTCCATTAGCTCCAACCATTGAGTCTGAGCCAGAAATGAGCAGAAGCCTTCTAAGACTGTGTTCCTTTTGAGACGATGGTATAACATATAAATTAGATAAAATCTCTTTTGTTATGCTACATTCAAGAGCCATACTTCAAAATTCAGGAAGGTGGGTTCCAGATGGAAGATCTGGGTAACCAGTAGATGAAACAAACATATGGTTATCATCTCCATTTGTTCAAAGTATCAGGGCCTCATTAACCAACTGGGTACGAGCAGGATGACAAGTAATTTTTCTCTTTTTACACTGTTCTGTTCAGTAAAAGCATGGGGAGAGCAGAAGTAACTTGGAAGAGAGCTTCCATGCCTAGAACTATTGAATGTGTCCTTCAAGACATTTGTTTTACTTGTGATTTGGCTGTGAAGCAAATAGGAACACTTAAGGCTGGCTTAATCTCAGATACGATATGGAAGTACTGGTTGCTCATTCTCCATTCTGACGACTGGACAACTTGACAATTCAGCCAGGCTGGATTTTCAGGTATGTAGGGCTAAATGAAGGCTAGGATTCTCTCCTCCCATCCCATACTGTGAAATGTCTCACAGCAGTTCGGAGCTTCTGATCCCTCCCTGGCAGCTGATGCAGACAAAGGTGGTCACTTATCACCTTAAAGTACTGACCCTGCCGGAGGTCTGGGAAGCTAAGAATGTGAACTTCACTGATCTCAGCCTGAGGAGATTTTTTTTTTTTTTTTAAATAGCCTTTTCCACACTGTGGATGACCAAATGCCCTGAGGGTTGTGTGGGAGCCCAAGGTGAACCCCCACACCTGAGAAACAACTAGTCCCTATTATTTTCTGACTTCTTGCAGATAGGACAGCTGCATAGTGCCTGTCAGGGTGCGCTTGATGAAAGATCACCACAGGAAAAATTTGGAAGTCCAATGGGAAACATGCTCTTCCTTTTTATGGCAGAGAAGCGAGTGGACTCAGCTTTGCAGCAGAAATCTTTGCAACAACCTCTTGTGGAGTCTAACCAAAGAAGACACATCTATGCATGAGAGCATTGTGTTTAACAGCCTGAGGCAGTCTCAGTGACACTAATTATTTTTATAACAAGAAAGTTTAATTTCAGAGGATTACAATTTCAAATAAGGAACAAAGAGCAGGCCAGGAATAAAGATCCACTTTGCAAGTCAGTGTCAGACTAAAAATAGACAATATAAAAGATATACACTTAGGCAAGATGTGCTTCTAAAAGTTTTTGCCGTTTTCCAAGAGATGTCAATAGGCTCTTGAATTTTTCAATATTTTCTGATGCGTGTAAGTGAACCTTACAAAGATTCATAAACTGTGGATTGACCATAAATAACTGTTTCACAGAGTCTGGCATGCCCACAATTACAGGGAGACAAAAAGCAGAAAGATAACAGATGGGTTAGGTAAGGAAATACAATATCAGTAGAAACCCAAGGGAAGCTAGGAAGACTAGAGCCTTCACCTATACTACATAAGTAGATATTTTAAACACTATTGTGAAACAGGCTTTCAACTCAGCCATGTTATAAGACTTCTCCCCCTCCCCCCTCTTGCCTGTGTGTACAGAAAAAAAGTTAGTTGTGGTTGGGCCACAAACTTGTTCCAACAATTATTTTGTAGCTTAGATATGACTGTAATTAAAATACTGGCCCCAGACACTGAGTTTTCTAGTACCCAATAGCAATAGAGACTGACGAGTTGGACAATATCTGTGAACATACTAAATGGCTAGGGAAAAAGAAACTTGCCACAAGTATTTTTTTCCCCCTTAGGTATGTCCAAACAATTTAGAAGCTTGAAATTCAGCCTAGTGATAAATCAAAATCATGTTTCTGTATTTTAAGTTGGGGCTTTGTATTTTGAGAGCTTTGCTAATTACATATGGCTGAATGTGGTGTTTTTAAACAAAAACTGTTACAAATCCGAAGTATTGTATAGAATACTAATGTTTGAAATACCAGACATTTTGAGATTAAAAATAGAAGTATCTTTTGAACCTTAAATTCTCTCTTCCTGCTATTTTTTTAAATAGAGATTAAAATAGAGAAATGATAGCTACTTTGTTTAAAAAAACAAACAAACACCACATCCACCCATCAGAGCCTGTCCATTCTAAATTTGTGACGGCACTATATTACTAGATAAGGGACATTTATTCTAGGTCCAATTTTAGGGTCTTAGCCGCTATTGAAAATCCAACCCTTTAATTTCTGGGAAAATAGTTACTCTTTGGGCTGCTCTATAGTCTACTTAATTCCGAGTTCCCTTGTTCTTAAAACAAACATGGTTTCAGAGTTGGAAGAATGGAAGTTACATCTTACCTTTACTGTAGATTGTGGGGTATAAGCTGCATTCTGATCCGGACTTGTTTTGTCTCCCGTGTAATGTGCTGCTGCTCCCAGATCAATGGTTTTGGAAGGATTTGCTGTGCGTTTGTGTCTGGTGGTGGTGGTCTCTGTGGCCTGTGTTATATGAATATGTTTGGTCGTCACCGTCTCCTCTTCATCTTTGAATTCACCTTTGGAGGATTTACCTCTTCTTGCTTTCTTTTCCTCATCACTATCACTAGAAGAGCAATGAAGAATGAAACAAAACTGATAATAATCAGTACAAATATGATTCAATTCCTCCTCACCAAGATCCGAAGCCCACTGAAATCAATGGAGTCTTTTCATCTACTTCAATGGACGCTGAACTCAGGCCTAAGAATTTTGACAAGAGTGTTGATTTGTATTAACAAAAGACTGTGCAGACAGCGACTTAGGGAAAGGAGTACACAGCTTTAATATTTGAGAAATTAATACTTTACACTTATGTGGCACTTTACAAAAGTGGGGGTAGCATTATCCCAATTTTTCAGAGACTTTTCTGTGCATGTGTGGGGTTTAAAGGTATTTGTTAGATACAGCTGTCTGGCCTGTTATAATTAGGGATATTTAGAAAAAGAGTGAAGTTGGTAGGCCTATTCAACACTTGCCCCAAGAGGTTATTCACTGGTCGAAATGAAGCGGTGCATCAAGAAAGGGTGCTGGCCTTAAGATGTCAAGGATACCAACTCCACTTCCAGCCCATATCCCATTTGAGATATATGGGCTTTTATTTTCTTTCAAGTATTTGTGAAAAATGGTTACCCAGCTTTAATAAGATTGTTTCACAGTATTATACAGAACTGTTCTAAATTTCCCAGCTCAGAAAACACATTTATTCGTACACCTTAAAGCACGTGTCTGTTTTAGTTGAAATCTTTTTATGTACCACAGTGTAATGTATGTTTAGTCTATTAAATTCTCCATTCTTACTTTGCTAGTGACCCAAAAAGGTGTAAAATATTATTCATTTTTGCAACAGGCATATTGCATTTTATCATTAGGGCAACAGAATTGTACATAACAATGAAAAATGCTGGAGAGAAAGCTTAAATATATTGAAAAACTATTTTGAAATAGCAATTCCCTTCTGGGTACATAATTAAAAGTAGAAGGTTTTTATATTTTAATAATGCACAAGAGTACTAACATATCTAATTGAACAAAGACTGTCCTTTTGTCAGTGGGGATACAGGAGCGACGCCAGGGTTTTTGACGCCCTAGGCGGCAGCTCTCCTCCTCAGAGCATTCGGCGGCGGGGGTCCTTCCGCTCCATGTCTTCGGGGCGCTTCGGCGGTGGGTCCTGGAGCGAGTGAAGGACCCGCCGCTGAATTTCCGCCGAAGACCTGGAGCGGAAGGACCCCCCGCCGCCAAATTTCCACCAAGGACGGCAAAATGCTGCCTCCCCCCCAAATCCTGCCGCCCTAGGGTCGCCTAGTGGAAGCGCCGGCCCTGTGGGGATATGACAACCACAATATACTCTAAAGGGTAGTCTTTGTTCTCTGCTGAGAATAGTGGGGAGTTTGGCATACTTCATATACATAGAGGAAATGGGACACATACAATCTAGTTGCCACTGGAAGTGCTTCCAAAGACTAACAGCATTAGCTTTAGCCAGACATACAAGCAAGTGTGGTGAAAGACTGCACACAGCTCTGCCAGTGCACCTAGTCCCCGATTTGTAGCAACTCTCGGCTGTTCCAGCTCTTGGCCCTCTGAGCCTACAGTACTATTAGCCCCATGCACAAGTGAGGGAATAGAAGGAGACCACTACATTCATTTTCAGTTGTGATATCAGGATTTTAATCCAAGTCTCCAAAGATGACTGGCAAGCTCACTAATGCAATGCATCATTTAGTCACCCCACTCCTGGCTTAGAGTGTAAGCTCCTTTGGGGCAGGTTCTTTCCATTGTGTGTTCATGCAGTGCTTAGCACAATAGGTCTCCGAGGCTGATTGGGACCTTTAGGTACTACTGCAATACAATTACTATTGTTAATTGTTAACCACATCAGTGCAGCCCCAAGTACCTAATGTGTGCATGTGTTGTGGGGAACTTGAGGGAGAGGAGAGGTTATCAAGTGCAGGTGCTGTCACATGCACCGATGAAATGTGCACTTCAGATGCATGCCCATATTACACTATAGCATAAGTTTCAGAGGAACGTAGTAAGGTTAATCTCACTTGCTCAAGAGTAAGACACAGATGACCCTTTAGTGATCTACACCATCTTAACTGCTGCACTACCAGAAATTCTAGCTCTACAAAAATAAAAAGGGTTTGAGTGGTCAACTGACCTCCAAAATCCACAGCATTAGAGAAGCGATGTTTAGGTGGATGCATGTGTTATATCTGAACGTTTTCCAGAGAGGTTAAATATATATACACTGAAATGTAGGACATAAAATATTACAGTGCCCAATTTTCTATAATAAACTGTACTGCTTCAAACGGAATGTCTCCGGAGATTTGTTTTGATTTTTCTTTGATGGTCACATTAACAGCAATGAAACATTATAGATTAATGTTCACTTTAAATGTGTTTACTATGTACGGAATAAATCCCTATAAAATCGTACCGCTTCATGTGAGAACTGCATAGTGAATGTTAAGAAGTTTCATCTAGTATCGTATTGAATCATTAAAGATACGGTCCTATGAGCAATGCATGTTCACGTAACAGCCAGGAGCTGAACTCTAGCCTGTGGTCTCTTCCTTTGCTTTAGATTCTCCTCCCCCCTGAAGGAGTGAAAATGGTTTACTGTCTCTTTGATTCGGGGGGGGGAGATAGTTTGAGGCAGAATGTCTAAACCTAGTCAGCCCGCAAAGAAGGATTACCACTCTTTAAACCAAGGTCACCTTTAGCAACGATGACACTTATGGTTTTATAGGAGACCAACACCACATTTTGTTTTCCTTTGCCATCTGCTGCCTACACTAGCTTCTTAAAAGGTTGGAGAGAAATAAATTTGGACAGAGTTCAAGAATTCCTGTTTGGTATTAAAAAATTGTTTTACAGATGCATTAAGGTACCTGCAGACAATTTGGAAAATACTGCTTCTGTACATAAGGATGGGATCAGCATTAATGGAGTGCAAAGCAAGGAGGATACTGGGGTCAAGCTTGGATCATTAGTGTAAGATTGGGGGAATCCCAACAAAGGAAAACCAGAGGCTTTTAGCGACTGCTTTCTGAATTCCCTTCTCTTCTACTATTTCAGTTCCAATGAGCCATCCGTACTGATAAGTTGGGAAAGGAACACAATTCTGAGAGACAGGAATGTTTTCCTTCTAAGGTTCAAAAATAGCCGTATTTCAAATTGTAGGCCCAGTTTCTCTGCAGACAGACAGTTGTGCATACCTTAAGTGTAGTTCTGCTCTGAAAAATGGCATGATGGGGTTACATATTTATCGCTCAATGACTTAGATCAAGTGTTTTCAGCATATAAGTAAAAAAGAACCTTTTATTTAACTAGACCTGGAATCTGAAAGTCAAGCTGGGTTCTTCTAGTTCATGCATCAATAAAAATAAAGATTGTAATTGGAATTTTGTTAAGCATTCTAACGATGAGATGAAAGCCAGATGGAGTCTGTTCTCATCCTTCCAGAGCAGTACTGACTGCAATGCTAACAGGAGTAAAAAAAAAAAATAATAATTTTGTTTTAATCACTAATGTCAACAGTTGAGACTGAACACATACAGAGAAGATCTGTGGATTGAGGCAGTACCCCTTATGTAGTCACTTTTCAGAGTAGAGCAGCGCATTAATTCTACATTACTGCACCCTGACAGATTGTGAATAAACTGTGGAGGATGTTTGTTTTTAAGTGAATTCATTTAGGTGGTAGTACTGATGAAAAGGATCTGGGGGTTACAGTGGCTCACAAACTGAACGAATCAACAATGTGATGCAGCTGCAACAAAGGGTGATATTCTGGGATGTATTAAGAGAAGTGTCGTATGTAAGAGATGGGAGATAACTATTCCGCTCTACTTCACACAGGCAACGCCTCATTTGGAGTACTGCATCCAGTTCTGGGCATCACACTTTAGAAAAGATGTGAACAAATTGGAGAGAGTCCAGAGGACAGCAACAAAAATGATAAAACGTTTAGAAAACCTGAACTATGAGGAAAGGTTAAACTGGGCATGTTTAGTTTTGAGAAAAGAAGACTTGGGGGGGGGGGCTGATAACCGTCTTCAAATACGTTATGGACTGTTATAAAGAGGAGGAGGATCAATTGTTCTCCACGTCCACTGAATAAAGGACCCCAAGCAATGGGTTTCATCTGCAGCAAGAGAGATTTAGGTTAGCTATTATAAAAAACTTTTTAACTATAAGGGTAGTTAAGCTCTGGAATATGCTTCCAGGGGAGGTTGTAGAATTCCCATAGTTAGAGGTTTTAAAAAATAAGTTGGACAAACAGTCAGGTTTACTTGATCCTGCCACAGTGCAGGGGACTGGACTTGACAACTTCGAGAGGTCCCTTCCAGCCCTACATTTCTATGATTTAGGGCAGTGGATCTCAGCCTTTCCAGACTATTGTTCCCCTATCAGTAGTCTGATTTGTCTTGCATACCCATAAGTTTCGCCTCACTTAAAAACTACTTGCTTACAAAATCAAACATAAAAATACAAGTGTGTCAGCACACTATTACTGAAAAATTGCTTGCTTTTTCATTTTTACCATGTAATTATAAAATAAATCATTTGGAATATAAATATTGTACTTACATATCAATGTATAGTATATAGAGCAGTATAAACAAATCATTGTCTGTATGAAATTTTAGTTTGTTCTGACTTTGCTAGTGCTTTTTATGCAGCCTGTTGTAAAACTAGGCAAAATCTAGATGAGTTCATGTACCCCTGGAAGACCTCTGCATACCCATGAGTATGTGTACCCCTGGTTGAGAACCACTGATTTAGGTTATTTCCATGAACCCAGAAGGGAAGGATACAAACTCCAAATCTACTGCACACATTCTTCAAAGTACCATTTTGTGCAGTGTTGGATTTTTGATTTTTAAGCCACACACGATTACTAAAATCCAATTTCTTCCGATCACCGACGCTTAGATATTAAATATTTATGTAGAACTTGCACCTGTAGTATTCAATTAGTGGGTTATGAAACGGGAAATGATAAAAATAGGTACGACAGTTCTAGGAGTATAAAGAACTATCAATAGGATTTTTATTGGGTTTTAATTACACATTATATCATGAGATTCCTATGACAATATGGACCTGACCTGAGGACTTTGCTCCTCCTACAGACAAAACTTCCATTTGTTTCAATTCCCAATGCACACGTAATGGCTTCTAGACTAGGCTCCACATGTGTGCTGTTGACGCAAAAAGATGCTTTCGGACTGCTTTTTGTGCGGTACTAGAGACACGGCATATTGGCAGAAGTCTGGATTATTTTGCATTGTGGGACTCAGCAGTGCAACCTCACCTTAACTACCACTTGGAAGAGCATTTTTGCTGGTGTATGTTGCATAATTTCCCCTTTTAACTCCTTGTTTAAAATTGATATTACTTAATAGTACCAAACACTTTTATGGCACTTTATAGAATCAAAGACATTGTCCCTGGGCTGACATTTCTGGTAAAAGATGAAAGGAAAGAGAAAGGATAACAACCAAAGATGCAAGATGTAATAACTATGAGGTGTGAAAGACCAAATGATTAAGTTAGAAAACTGGTTAGTGCAGAAGATTAAAAACACTGGAGTAGAGCAGAAATTAGCAGTTGAAAGCTATCTGAAAGAAGAGGGGTTTGGGGAGGGATTAGAAGGTGGAGAGAGAGAGGCTTGCTTGGCACACTAGGAGATAAGGATCCATCCAGGTGATAAGCAGTAGTGGGAGGAAGAACCATAGTGGCACAAGACAACACGAGGGGAATATCAAGGTAAATATTTGTTCATTTTCTATTTGAAATATAGCTAAGGATCTTTATGGATGTTCTCATGTGCAAAATTGCTTTTGAAAGATAAGGACAAAGCTCAAATCAATGTACCATTATTGTTAAATCTCAAGTTGTTTGTTTCTTCTGATCCTCTCTCTTTGTAGTCTATTGATGATAAATTCTAAGAAGGAACCCTGATGTGTGCATAGAGTACCAGTTTTTGATTTATTAATGTCCTAGGGGGAAGGCCATATTGCCCTGTTCTGAAAAGTGCCACCATTAGTATTACTTTCACTTCCCTGCTGGACTACTTGGTATTAAAAAAAATATATATACTTATACATAGGGTTGTGAAAAACTACTAATACACGTAAATGCAAGATGTATTAGAATTCTTACAATTTTAGACTGTTTACCTAAAAGGAAATTATTTAAATGAGCATTTTCTCAGCAGCAATTTCAGATCGTTAAGAATGGGTTTGATCTCCCAATAATAAAATTTAATACATCTGTTGAAGCGTGGTGCATTTAGAGATCATACTGCAGGCAAAAACACCTCAGTTTTATTTTCTGACTGCAGAGGATTTAGAGGCCAGGTGAACAAACATCTGTCATATTTTACAAAAGGGTTAGTTGAAAATGAAACTATTTGTTTCAAGTACACGAGTAAGTGGTCCAAATTCTCTGTTCTTCTTGAGATCTGCTCAATACAGAAACCCAGTGAAAAAAATGAAAATAGGAGGTGGAGGGTGGGGCTAAAGTGGCTGTAAGCAATTTCTGTGTCTCCTCTTATTCTTGGGTCATTTGGGAGTTTGCCGGGACTCATCTATAAAATAGAGCAGCTTCAAGGCTACTGCAGTCGGTCCAGGAGGCCACTGCAATAGCTGAGAATTATTAGAGCTCAGTGCACTTTGGCCAGACTCCCCCTGGACAAGCAGTTGCAAGGCCAGCAGAGGTGGCTCCAGGTACCAGCGCAGCAAGCGCGTGCCTGGGGCGGCAAGCCGCGGGGGGCGGTGTGCCAGTCGCCGTGAGGGCAGCAGTCAGGCCGCCTTCGGCGGCATGCCTGCGGGAGGTCCGCCGGTCCCGCGGCTTTGGCGGCAATTCGTCAGCGGGTACGCTGAAGGCGTGGGACCAGCAGATCACCCGCAGAAACACCGCCGAATCCGCGTGACCAGCAGACCGCCTGCAGGCTACAAAAAACAGAGCCGCCCCTGAAGGCCAGGGCACTTATGCTGACTCTAGACCACCCAAAGAGCCTCCTTATTCTCTGGGGTTGGGGATGACAGCTACATGGCCCCCCTGGAACCAACAGAGCAGGGTAAGGGGGGGGGGGGGGAAGGTGTCACACAACAGACTGGCCCAAAATTGTATTTCTATTAAGAGGGGAAAGCGTGGCAAAAAAATGCAGACACCTAATAAGCCTTACAATTATAGTGACTATTCAGAGTAGATACAGCTATTTTAACATAGTAGAAGTACCTGCATCTTTCAGGAGAGTCCTCTCTATCTTTCCTCCGGAACTTGCTGATGGTATCATCAATTGTGCTTCCAATTTTGTCACTCAGTTCACCTAGTTTATCGCTGAATGGAAAAGCGCCCTTGTTTTTATCCCATTCTTCATCCCATTTTGACTTGGGCTCAGAATCATATCTTTCACCTATACAATTTGTGAAGAAATAACACTGATGATAAACGCAAGAAAAAGCCTGTAGTCTTTTTGGAGTTGTCCCCCATGACCCCCACAAAAACTGTTACCTTATGAGTTTTCAAAGCAAACTGAAAGCTCCCACAGTGCTGAATCAACACTATTACAGCAAGGCACAGCATGGAATGCCAATCATTAAGTGGCAGGAATGCAGATTCAAAAGCTTTTGTTTATGACAACTACACAACCGTAATGCACTGCACAGCACAGCACATCAGGATACTGTTAAACCCTGCTGGAGGAGCAGCATAAGAGAATCAACTCAGGCTGTATAAGCAACTTATCAGAATTGGAACATGCCATTTTTATAATGGTCACTTAATGTGCAATATTGCATTCCTGGCCAAGCTGCCACACTAAGTGGTAAATCTTTCAAAGATTTTATACATTTTAAAAGCTCATGAATACACAGAGGCACAGTACCAAACACCAAAACAGACTAGTGTGAAAACATATGGTAATATTTCTAGCATCTATTCCTGTTAAAAAACCCTCAAACAACAAGATTTAGAAACCATTAAGGAAAGTACAGCAACTTACCTTCTCAGCAGCCAGTCAGTGCTTTCATTTCTCAACACTACAGTGCCATCAAGAATTAACAGCAAAATAAATTTGCTTCTGAATGTTGAGAATCAAGAACTCCAACTAGCTGCTGGTTAGTTTAGAAAAGAGATTATACCTTTTCTTCAATTACCTGCAAATATTTCATGTACACATCTAAACTGAGATTTAGTAAAGTTAATTTTTTTAAAAAAGAATTTAAAAGATATTTTCACTAAAACTTCCCCTTGCATTGTTGGAATCTGAAACAATATGATGACTGCACTAAGTTTGAAAATTTTAGCAACCCAATCAGTGGCTTGATTTTCAACAGGCAGGTATTTGGATCCTGGAAATGTTAAGCCACTTATGGGGTGCCTAAATTTGTATTCAGGTGCTTAAATTTAAGCACCAAACATTTGAACATGTTGGTCATAGTGCATGAAAATTAGAAAGGAGACATTGACCAGCCTACTTTTATTGCCTTACCTGAGTGAAATGGAACTAGCAAGCAGACAGCAAAAATGGTAAATTAGTTAAATTATTTGGGAACTCATAAGAAACTTGTAAGATACTTAAAAAAATACAAGGGTCATGCTCAATTAAAACAGTTTTAAATCCACACACAATGAATAAGTTATAGGAATATGAAAAGGTCCAATTGAATCCGAGTTATGCCTCTCTCCAACCTGAATTACACATGCAAAAATAAAAATCTTAATCTCTGAAAAAGAAAATGTGAACATCAAAATGACTCCCTTTGTTAGTTTTTTGTATAATACAGAATCCGGACAAATACAGATATGCTTTCTGATCAAATGGCTCAATGTTAGTATCCAGCTGCCTGTAGCCTTTTCTCCATCTTGTATGTACCAAGACTATATTGAAAGAGTTTATTGTAAATGTCTACCAAACCAGGTAATCAATAGTGCTCTCCATCACAGGAAGAACATAAGAACGGCCATACTGGGTCAGACCAAAGGTCCATCTAGCCCAGTATCCTGTCTACTGACAGTGGCCAATGCCAGGTGCCCCAGAGGGAGTGAACCTAACAGGTAATGATCAAGTGATCTCTCTCCTGCCATCCATCTCCACCCTCTGACAAACAGAGGCTAGGGACACCATTCCTTACCCATCCTGGCTAATAGCCATTAATGGACTTAACCTCCATGAATTTATCCAGTTCTCTTTTAAACCCCATTATAGTCCTAGCCTTCACAACCTCCTCAGGCAAGGAGTTCCACAAGTTGACTGTGCGCTGTGTGAAGAAGAACTTCCTTTTATTTGTTTTAAATCTGCTGCCCATTAATTTCATTTGGTGGCCCCTAGTTCTTGTATTATGGGAATAAGTAAATAACTTTTCCTTATCTACTTTCTCCACATCACTCATGATTTTATAGACCTCTATCATATCCCCCCCTTAGTCTCCTCTTTTCCAAGCTGAAAAGTCCTAGTCTCTTTAATCTCTCCTCATATGGGACCTGTTCCAACCCCCTAATCATTTTAGTTGCCCTTCTCTGAACCTTTTCTAGTGCCAGTATATCTTTTTTGAGATGAGGAGACCACATCTGTACGCAGTATTCAAGATGTGGGCATACCATCGATTTATATAAGGGCAATAATATATTCTCCGTCTTATTCTCTATCCCCTTTTTAATGATTCCTAACATCCTGTTTTCTTTTTTGACTGCCTCTGCACACTGCGTGGACGTCTTCAGAGAACTATCCACGATGACATCCAGATCTTTTTTCTGATTCGTTGTAGCTAAATCAGCCCCCATCATATTGTATGTATAGTGGGGGTTATTTTTTCCAATGTGCATTACTTTACATTTATCCACATGAAATTTCATTTGCCATTTTGTTGCCCAATCACTTAGTTTTGTGAGATCTTTTTGAAGTTCTTCACAGTCTGCTTTGGTCTTAACTATCTTGAGCAGTTTAGTATCATCTGCAAACTTTGCCACCTCACTTTTTAACCCTTTCTCGAGATCATTTATGAATAAGTTGAATAGGACTGGTCCTAGGACTGACCCTTGGGGAACACCACTAGTTACCCCTCTCCATTCTGAGAATTTACCATTTATTCCTACCCAGAGAAAGTGCTAGGGAGCACATCAATGTGCACTGAATGTGCACTTTTTTGTTTCTGTATTTTAACGTACATTGTGTTTCCTTGTGTGTTATAAACATTTAGAATGCTGACAAGCAGCAGAAAAACCTGGCCTGATGTACTGAAATGTAGATTGAGACAACAAAAAGAAATATCAGGTTGGGTGGGGGTGTTAAAAAAAAAGTTTTCCAATGTAAAGTTTATCCACATGTTCCAGAACTTTGTTACACATTAGCCTGACACAGCATTGTTAAAAATCGTGGGCTATTTTGATGATAAAATATAGCCTGTTCACATTTTTTTAAACTCATAAAATAACCTAAACTAATATGTTTTTGGATACTTAAAAAAAAAAAATCAAAAAAAAAAATCTTAAAACTATTTCCCCCCAAAATTCCTACTGGATCCCCCTGCAAAAAATCAATTTTCTGTATAAGAGACTATTCCTTCCTAGCTGAAAGATCTGACCTTATATGTAAAATTTCAGCCTGAAGGGGTTTTTTAATGCTGGCATTTTAAGATGATGAAAATGCTTGCAAACACTTCAATATAGTGATAAATGAAGTGATGCTAATTAGAGATCCTTTAGTATAAAAACAAATACATTTTAATGAGATGACACGGGTTCAGATTTGGAAGTGTGGTGAAAAGAGCTGAAAAGAATATGGAGAAGGAATGAAGTTTTCCACTGATCAACCCGGGGTGGGTAAGTTCTCTTTGGACAGAGAGAAACAAGAGCCAACCCAGACAGAAAGATAGGAGACAACAATGAAGAAGGTACAGAGGCAGTGACCTGTGAGCGTTCTACAAGACAAAAGGATTACCAGAGCCCCCAACAGGTAGCATAAACCCAAAGGAATATATTGCAAGGAGGCACTTATCCTGTAGCATGGTGGAACTGCCTGTCTACCCTATTTTTTTTGGGGGGGGGGAGAGGGGCGGAGGAGGGGGGAAGAAGAGGGAGGAAATCCTTCCCTATACCATGGAGACGGTTCAGCCCACTGGCACTTACATGTACCCTTCACTGTGATGGAAGGGTCCACAGTGCCACAGAGTGGCTTGTGCAGAGCAAATCTCCAGGTCACACAGAGAGGATGCATACTCCTGGCACAGCTCCCTCACATACAGTCCATTCTCGCACAAAGCCACACTGGTTCCACTGCACAGGAGCACTCAGAAGTTGTGAACATGAGGGTTGGACTTTCCTCTTAGTGGAAAATATCCTGATCTCTAGTAATACCAGGGAGGATATGGACAGACTGATGGTTTAGATGCAACATATTGGGCTACACGAAAGAGATGCAAATTTAGATGCACACTCAGACCTTTGTTCCTCACTGTGGCAGGACTGGGAGCATGGAGGAGGCCAAGGAGGGAGTGGTGCATAAAGAAGTGCCTTACAATGCTCATGAGTGATCATCTAAGCAAAGCAGACAGAGGTGGGCAAGCTTCAAGGCATGGCAAAAAAAAGGCCTGATGTGAGATTCAATGCCTAAATCAAGCTAGATTTTAGGCAACCACTCCTGCAGATGAAGGGCAACTTCCCTGGACGTATTTGGCTCTGGAGTGCCTATTGTCAAGGAGAGATGTAGAGTTATGAATGGTCAAGTGACCTTAATGGCATTTACAGACTTACATGTTTTTGCATTTTAACCTTAGAATATCCCTTTAAACTGATTTTTAAGACAAAGCTACTGCTTAGTTTCCCCCCTTAAATCCATAGTTCCTTAAGCTTCAATACCAGCTGTTGTTCAACAAGGTTCCTTTAAGTTTCCCAAGCACCCACTGAAACACTGAACAGGTGACCTGCCTTCAGTTTTGCAAGGCCTGGTGGGTGCAATAAAGCAGCACAGTACATATTCAGCTGCAAGTTTCCTAGTGTGTCAAGGCAAAGTGGGTGTGGTGCTGGCACTGGGAAGCATGCTCCTTAAGGTGCACATGGGAGCTGCAGATTCAACGCATGCCATAAAAATCACAGACCAGATGCAGACCCCCGAATTCCATTAGAGATTGTAGATCAGCAAGCAGCACCACACGCACATTAACAAGAACACACAGACCTGAGTTGAATATCAAAATACATACATATGGTGGCTTATATTCCAAGTGTCCATATAATGCTACATGGGAGTTTAAGATCTGCTTGCATATCCTAAGGTACACATTGTTTTACTTTAACACCACACACTCACCACCATCACCAAAACAAATCAAAGGCACTCAGTGAGGTCAGCTCCCTGAGACAAGGGTCGGATGTCTAGGTCAAGCCATTTTCAGCTATGAAGAGGTGAGAAAGTATTAGCGATCTTAAAAAAAAAACCCACAAGGAAAAACAAAAACAGAATTCTTCTGGAAGCCCTGAAAATGCCCTTCAAAATATGTCCTTTTAAAAATGCCGCTTGATTTGCTTCAAACTTTCCATTAGAATTGTATTGTGGCAAAGGACCCTACATGCCAATTTTCAGATAGATCAGTTAAGTTTTGGAAGCGGCAGTGGATCACCACCAGCCATATAATAAAATCTCCATTTAGTTCATTTAAGTGACACCCTTACCCCTCACCCCACCAAGGGACCGAGAGAAACTGCCACCAATACATTTGAAAATATTTCATTTCTATTCAGATGTACCAGAAGGATTTGAAAAGTTATTAGCTCGATAAGAGTAATAAAAGTGCCAGGCATATTTTAAAAAGAGTCCTTTACAAAGGGACAAATTGTCCAGGAAGGATTTGCTCAGTATTTATTTGCTCCTTGCAGCACATCCATGAAACCAAGCTAAGTCGCTGGGTGCAAATTGCTCTCCTCATCTACTTGACCAACACAGCACTGTACTCACCATATCTGAACCCTCCGACACTGTCAGAAGAAACCCCAATGTATTTGTCTTTGTTCTTCTTTGCCTTTTTCCTCTCTTCACGAAGTCGATCATCATCTTGGGCAAACTCTACCATTTCTTTCACCTTTTGGCGTATGTTTATACCTTGGTCTTTGCCATTCTCATCTATATATATTGGCAAAGGGGGAAAAATTCAGAAGTAGCAGTTAGTACTGAGCATTAGACAAGCTAACAAATGAAAAAAAAGTTACAAAATGAACAATTATGAGAAAAATCCTAAAGTGCACTGAACCTGTCTAAAATAGGAGGTCAAACAATATTTTATATCAATTGAAATTTCATCCTCAACTAAATCATGTATTTTCATTAAGTACAATTTGTATTTAGAAAAGTCTAACATTAATCTTTAACAGATCAACAGCAGTAAGTTTTGGAGTTAAAAAAAAACAGGCTCAGATTTAAACTATTTTCTTCACTCATATTTTATTCCGATTTTAACCCTTTTTAAGAAGCAGCACCAGTTTTTAGCTTTTTTAGTGCAGTTTTTGAAACACTAATTGCTAGAATTCTGTCTCACTGCAAAACTGAATTTTTAAAGTGCTTTCAGCTAAAAACTAAAATTTGCTTTTCTCACCAGCCTCTTTCACATTCAAAACACACATTGGCCTTGCTGCCTTTGCACTGTAAATATTATTTGGTGGGAGGAAAAAAAACCCCAGCTTCAAACAGATGTGTGTGTTTTGGAGCTCTAACCTTTTCTTCCCATATGATTAAAGCTATTCCTTTACGGACACCACAGGGGACCAGTCTCTAGTGCATATTTTAATATAAACCCGAACACTCATGTTGTGTTGGTTCTGTTGTTATTAGCCAGTCTTTTCTGCAAGTTCTTGTCTTCACTAATTAATACTCTAGGGTCCCACGTCTTGGATTCTGCACTCTTCACACAACCGGCAACAGTCACATTCTAATTAGAGCAGGGAGGCTTCTAAGCTGGTTCAGGTGACTGACAACTCCAACTACTGTTTTAATTTGCTTATAAGATTTTTCTATTGCTCACCTACAAAGTGGTAATTTTCCAGGGAGCGCAAATCATAAATGTGTTCTCTGGCACTCGTAACAACACGCTCTGATCCATTCCTTATGAGGTAAGCTAGGAGCAGCAAAGACTATAAAAATACAAAGCACATTAAATGATTGCATGAACAAAAGCTCTATCAGAATTTGTTTTAAGTGCAATAAAAAACTAAACCCTAAAATCCAAAAGTTAGTCAATGACAAGATTTGTTCCCCTTTTAAATAAGTAACTATTACACTGATTTGCCTTTTATCGCGTTCTCTTTTTTCTTCCCCTTTTTTGTTTATAAGTATCGCAAGCAAATTTAGATTGCATTTGTTCAGTAAAAACCAAAGTAGATTGTTAATATTAGATCATCACTAATTCTTGAAGCAAATAACTTTTCATCCGAAAAAGATGGTTATGGAAATTTAAAAAGCAAACCTAACCCTGTAAAACAAAAAAGTTTTCCTGTCTCCCCTCCGCCCCTTCAATTCCCCCAATGTTTTTCATTTAAAAGCAATTTTTATGGTGACTTATTTATGTTGCTCTCTACAGGAATGTGTTCATGTATAAAACAGTATTCTGGAGTAAGTTTAAAGAAAACTTCAAGACAAAAATTTTAAAAGTTGAAAAAGTATTTTTTAAAATTGTGAACTTCCTTGAACTTCAATAAGTTCCATCTAAAAAAAGTCATATGTGAAGCAGAGTCTACCAGCTAAAATACGTAATCAAAATGCAATATATTCTAACCTGGTAGATAATTCCAACGAGTCTTTAGAACATTAAGTAGTATGTATGATAGCATTAAATATTAATTTACATTATACTTCAGGGAAAACAATTACTATGAGTACAAAGCATTGGGCACCCCAAGAAAACACAGTATGCCTTAGAATTATTTTTGTCTTGTTATAATCTGAGCCGACAGAGTAGGATCTAAACCTTAAATTTTAAAAATGGTATGTGCTATACCAATCCCACTTCACCCTCGAAAACCCCCAATATAATCCTACATATGTTGTTACATTGGAAGTACAGCATAACAATATTAAGGAAAAAGTCGATCTACGCTACACAAATTATTCAAAGCCAAGAAAACTTCAACTGGTGTTCAGTGCTTTCTCTACCACTAGTAAGACAAAAAGGCAAATGAAATACAATCTTCAAAATGAGTGGGAAAATTTGGATTCTTTTGAGGCAGAATGCTAATGGAAATTAAGTTTTAAGCGGTTTAACTTGGAAACAATTTTAATTTTTCTAGTTAGAAACAATATCCTTTAGAATGCTTAAAAAGAATTAGAAAATAATTTGAAAAAGAATTATCGACAGGCGTACATGCAAACGATTTTTTTTAAGTACAAAACGTAGATGTTATTCTGTTTGACACTTGTGTAACAGTAAAATAAGATTGCTATGTTAATTAAAAAGCATTTTACACAAAACATTTGTTTTTAGAAAGCTCAATACTGCAGAACAACAAAACAGAAATTAGACTTTTATAACAGAGTTAATAGTAACATCTGATAGGAGAAATCTAAAGTTTAGTGTAACTACAGTTTCTTGATAATACAAATGTAACAGTTGAATACGTACATGCACAACAGTGCATCAAGATATGAAACTAAAATTAATACCTTAGTGTTTGTTCTGCAGTACACAGAGTAAGAGTAATCACATCCTAAAAATGTCTTTTATATGTACACACCTTATAAACTCTCCTCCAGTTCTTTTTATTATCTTTCAACATTCGAGTCCAAAGCATGTTCATAAGTTCTGGAAACTGCTCATACATAAATGTAGCTCTAAGAGAATTAAACAAAAGGAGCAAAGCAATTATTTTCATAACAATTTTCCATAATAGTTTGCTACAATTTAATGTTGACAGTAGATGGCAGACTTGGTCTAAAACTATTGTAATTCCATCAAACTCCAAGTGAAGAGCTACCAAAATTTCTTATTTATACAGATGTATTTCACACACCACCATTTCAAACAAAGCTGAGTATCTATCAATTTGGGGGGGAGGGAGAGGAATCTATTCTCTTCAAAGCAATGGTTTAATGTCTACAACATGACTATGGTGGTGCCCTTCATAACTAGCTCATCACACACTATCCAAGCCCGTCTCTGAAAGATAAAGTGATACATATGTTCATGAGCAAAAATTTGGCTAATCTTACTCTGCTTAAAACCTTTAAAAAGTATTGAAGCAACCGGCCCCAAATAGGATCTTTTTTATTCTGAAAAACCCACAAAATGAGACATATTGTAAGACCAAGAATTAAAAAAAAAAAAAAAAATACACTGCAAGTATACTGTGACATGTTTTTGATTCAGTGATTCTGATGATTTTTTTCCAGCATATAATCTTAAAATTTAATTTTTAATTATTTGTCAGCTCCTCTCTATCAACCTGGCATCCCTGTTGGTCTGGCAGCAAATTTTATATTTCTGTATAAAGATGCATCTTTTTCTTCAACACTGAGTCAAATTATCACTTACTTGGCAATCTCTCCCATGAGCTGCCCTGAAGGTCCCCATGGATCATCATTGGTTGCTTCTCGAACCTTAGACTCAATGTCTGAATAATTCATAACCACGTTGGTGCTGCAAAGGAAAAAAATTAACACACACATGAAGATTAGCATCAAACTGAGAAACACATGAAAACTTAATAATGACACTAGTGGGTACCTTAATGAGATACCTCTACAGGGTGGGAAAGAAAACATCTTTAGTGCAGAAGCTACCCTGAGGACATTATACAACACATTTAAGTTATCTTTAAGAAGGTTTTTACTATTCCATTAGTCTTCAAGCATACAGATGAGAGACTAGGGATTACATGAGAGTTGGAATCAGTCCAGTAAAAATGGCTTTTGGTCAACTTAAAACTGAAACAATCACTAGAGTCTAAATCGGTAGTTTCCCCAGCTAGATCTGGCTTGCTTGCCGGCTTACATGTTGCACAATTATTTGCCAGTACTTCTATAACTCAATGAACAGAAGTGGATGTGTATTTTCTCAAACCATGTGCATTATAATGAAATCCAAACAATGTCAGTATCCCAGCAGGTGCTAGCAAAATTACACAGATAGGAGAAGTTGGAAAGAAGGGAGATGAGAAATTCACAGGGAAGTATGTTTTTTAGCTTGAACAGTTTTAATTAAGGGAAAATGGGAAGGAGAAAGGGAGAGAAGCTACAGGGCTCCCTGTATGCCGATTAAAGGAATGAAAACAATATCAAGAGTTCAAGGACCCTCTACGGGAGTTCTTGCAAAAATGCAGTATGGAAAGAGGAAATAAGATGTTTCGGTATCATCTCTAAAAGAGTCAAAGAATCTGCCTTCTTAATGAATAGCTGTTGCAGAAAATGTTAATGTTTAATTACAAGCCTGATTTTTAATGCTTTAATACTTTCTTAAAAAAAAAAAAAAAAAAGTCCTAATATACTCTGGAAGCAAGATGATCTGCCTTAACCTTAACAAAAGAGGGGCTCAGTGCATTTATTCCTTAACAACTCTATTCACGTGAAAAGAGCTCCAACTGCAATACTTTAAGATGTATTTTTTCAGATATTGTGCCACTGGGAAAATGGAATAATTGTGCATATGCATATTTACATCAGAAAAATATTGCACAACTAAAAGATACACCATTACCTATACTCTGCCTACTTGTATAATTTTCTCACACTCTAGTGTATTTAAAAGAGATTTGCAATGGTTATGTTTATACCCTTTATACTAGGAAGTTTAGAAAAAACTGTTAAATACTGTAGATAATTATACAACTGGTTTCAGAATCGGAAAGAAATTGCTGCAACATGATTGTGTTCAACTTGGAGTCCACAGAATGTCTTGTAAACCAACTGGAATGAAATGCGGAACTGGTCCAGTGGCCTAGTAGTAATGCTACGGTGGAGGCTGGGTTCAATATTCATGCCCTTCCTTTGGAAGGGCAGCAAAAACACTGCTTTACAGTCACCGGTCTGGGTGTTTAGGGAGAAGCATGAATAGGTTTTTAAAGTGACACTCATCCAACCCTCCATGCAGAAGGATGATGGAACTGGGAGTGTAAAGCAAAAGAGAAAGGAGAAACAAAAAGTTCTTTTAAGACCCAGAAAAGGACACAGAGGGTAATAAAACCTGAGGTAGAACTCCTAGACTTAATCAGGGATTCTCAGCATTAGAATCCTTGCAATCAGATTCTGAAAAACAATTTTATTTGACTGTCTAAAGAAAGCATAACCTACATGGCTGAATAAGTAATCAGCAAGCCAATAGACTATGATCTGTATAGGAAAGCATGTTCAAACTCAGCAATAGGTATGAACAATAGCAATCAGGGTTGTATAAAGTCACTGTTAAAAACTATTTAAAAAACCCTACAAACTTCTGTTTCTGCTGTTTTGTTTGCTGTAGACATCCAGATGTAAGCTAGTACCATTTTCAATTCTCATGCATATGGAACATTTTCATTTATTTATTTAACTACAGGCTTCAGAAGCTTTGCAGCTTTCAGCACACTAGTTTTCTTGTCCTACGTAAGGAAAACTTGTGGGTCAAAAGGGAAAGGTTCTGTTTGTTTTTATAAAACCTCCCCAAGCTCTTGTTTGAAGGGATGGATGGGGAGGGGGAATATAAAAAGGAGTTTCCTATATTTCAAGTAAAGTTTGAGATTGAAAAAAAAAAATCACATAAAAAAGAAACTTACAGTAAAAATACCAGCATCAACTAAATAGTTTCTCAAAGTACAGGGCTAACACAGTACTGGGGGGAAAGTAAGCAATGGAGCGTGGGAGGGGGGAGTGCAGTTAAACCCCACTAAAATAGGAAGACATGCTCCATTTCTAAAACCATCCAGCAGTAAAGTTATTGTTCTCAGCAAATTGTAGAAAGCTCTCAAATGCCAAGACGAGAACTAATGGCACAAAACGTTCCAAAACAAAATATCTTTAAGCCACAGTTAATTCAGAAACAAATGTAAACTTAAAAAAGTTGTATAGTTTGGCTTTGTTCCAGGTCTTTTAAAAATAGCTATTTCTAAAAAGGTGGAAATATAGTTTTATTCTTCCTTTCCCATGTTTTCTATGGCCCTCATTTCATGCCCTACCCATGATTCCTGTGACCTTTGCAGCAAAAAATAATTTATGTCCAGATGTGAAGGGAAAAAGTGACTAGTTTGATTGCCAAGACTTCCTGTGATTGATATAAATTTAATATCCGAGGACACTTTCAGACGCCAGGGGGGGCTCTCTGATTAGTTTATACTGGGCAGCTTCCAGGGAATCGTGCTAGACTTCATGGACAGATTGCTTTGCAAACAAATGGTTATACAATAGTTAAGACTAACAGAAGGAATCCTAGTACTGAACGCTTAAAGCACACTATAATCACAAAGATTCCCTTTGGATTTACACCAACTCATTAATTTAAAGCCTTCACAATTGAAATCTTATAACAAGCCAGTTTTGACATGGATAGAGATGTTAAATAAACGGAAGAAGTGGATTTAGCAATTAGATTAAAAGTACGGCATATGGAAAAAATAAATGGACATTAATGATTACAAAACCTTTGCCACATTCCTTTCTGCTTACGTGGTACATGCATACATGTTAGCTTTCTTAGAATTGTCTTTTTAATCTTATAGACCATTGTCAACTCCCACTGATACATTTAACTTTTTTTTTTTTTCATTCACTGTTCCAGCACCTTTTTTCAAAATCAGTGATGTCAGTATAGCTTTGGTTATTATATTTCTAGCCAGAAAGAGGAACTGGCAATAAAATAAATAAATGGGTTCAGTAAAAAAAAAAGCTGTGGTCAGTGGGGTGTTCTTTATTTTAAAATCTCAGCAACAGATGGGTTAAGTTTATAAATACAAAAAGCTACACATTTACAACAATTTTAGAAAGGTTTCAGAGTAGCAGCCGTGTTAGTCTGTATCCGCAAAAAGAACAGGAGTACTTGTGGCACCTCAGAGACTAACAAATTTATTAGAGCATTATCTTTCGTGGGCTACAGCCCACTTCTTCGGATGCATCCGAAGAAGTGGGCTGTAGCCCACGAAAGCTTATGCTCTAATAAATTTGTTAGTCTCTAATTTTAGAAAGGTAGCTCAAGTGATGCTCTCAAATTCTTTGGCAGTGGGAATGCCAGTACACCTCATTATTTAAAAATATTTGGCTTGTCTCAGTGTGGATCAATTAATAAAGATTAAATATTCCTCATGATTTTGAAAAAAATGAATGTTTATATTTAACACCTAATTCTACAACCAGATAAACTAAAAAAGAGAGATCCCTTTATTGTAATTAAACATACCCAGTTTACCTAAAGTGTTTTATGTGCTTCTGAAAAGGAAAGAGAATCTTTGAAAGAACTATAGAGCAACTTCATAAATATTCCAAATTTCTTTCTGAGTTATGGTTTCCTGAGATCTAGAATATTTGCGATGCAGCTCTCAACAAGGCCCAAGTGTCATGCCTTAAAATGAGTTAAAAAACAGAAAAGAGAGGAAACGGGTTGGAGAGAAATATTGTATGTGCTTCATTAGATTTCCTGCTGCTTGTCTTTTTTTGTGTGGGAGAAGGGAGGAAGGAGGTGTGGGAGAGAAAAGTCAGTTCTGTAACCATTCCTACAAAGATAACAGAAAGCCAAAAACCAATAAGCGCCATCCAAAATTTGTTGTGCAGAATATTTACAAATTAGCTATCCGTTCCCACTCATTTTCTAGAACACTCATAAATCACATCAGCTTTCAGGAATAAAATGAGTGAAGAAACCTGAAATGCTCTTCCGAAGACAAACAAACATACATGGATTTCTTAAAGCATACAAATGAAATATAGTTCATTTGCAAGTAAAGATTTACATGTGTTACAATTTTCTGAAGGAGTGTACTTCACAAGACTAAATGCAAAAAGCATAAAGCGATCATATCTCACCATACAGATGCTGAGCACAATTCAGGAACAAAGTAGGCACAAGAAACACTGTGTACACAAGTAAGTGATAATTATGTTGTTCACATGAGCTTTCTAAGTACTTGATTTCAATACATTCCGTGGCTGTGATAACAGTAATATTTTAGGCTACTGTACTATGGCTGTTCACAACACTGAACCCCATAATGAATCATCAAATCTCTATAATGCTCCTCAGCTCTGAAGAACAGCGTAATAATGAGGGTGAAGTGTATTATGCTCTCCAGAAAGTATCAACTTCTCTTCAAAGTGTTTTACCATAAAACACCCATAAAATAAACACTGAAAAGGAAAGTTCCCTTAGGCTAAAAAAATCACTTTAGTCGCCAGGAAAAATCTGTTCTATTTTGTGTTTTCAGCCAAAACATTAGGGAAAACAGTTTTAAATAATACTTGCAATGTTGTGAGGTGAAACCTTGATAATCAATCATGTGGTTTTCATTATTCTGGATCACAGGACACCCTCCACAGATTCTTATGCTGTACTTGTACCCAAATTGGAACTCCTAAATGAGGTTTACCATCCAGCTCTAGATTTTGGGAAGCAATGTTCTTTTGAAGGATTACAAATACCTGGCTCACTAGAAAATGACATTTCAGCCCTTCAATGTGCAC